TTCTTCATTTCACACGAGTAACGGAAATACCCAGAAGCGTTCCATCAGAACCTTAACAATCTGCATTAATGTGGGCCAGCCCAGGCATGAACTAATGAGGACTAAAAATTAGTGCCTGAATGTGGCCACTGAGAATGATGCCATGCTTCCTATGAGCCAACAGTGAGCCCAGGTTATCCCTGCCTAGTTCTTGGCACCCTCTAATCTCCAAGGCAGGGCAATTTACTTCTGCTGCTGCTTTTCCTTCTCAGCGACAGAGCTTTTCTGCTCCTGAGTCTGACAATATCAGGGAGGTTAGGCTAGGCTCTGGTTGGTCTCCTGGCAGCTCCAACGAAGCTGCCATGGAGATGGAAAAGGAGCTGAGCAGGTGGGTTCAGAACAGGGGTGTGCAAATACTGCTCTGCAGACTAGATCTGGTCTGCGAGAGTTAGCCCCTGGCAGGCCCCCAAACTCCCGTATTTACCTGCACCTCTGCATTTACAGGGGAACACAGCTCCCCTTGGCCATGAATCACCATTCCCGGCCAATGGGAGCTGCGATCGGAGAAGCAGGTAAATATAGCGGCGGCAGCTCACCAGGGGCAACATCATCTCCTGGATCTCTACTTACCCCTGCAGCAAATACAGTACAGCTGCTCAGGAAGCATTGGGACCCAGATTACGAATGGTATTAAATCACTGCTCGCTTAGTGTCACAAGGCTTAAGTAACTTAGATGGGTAAGCCCCATGTTCAAAAGTGATTTAGACACTTAGGAACCTAATTTTCATTTAAAATCAATGGGTTGCAGCACCTTACTCAGTCTCCCTCCAGGAATCCCACTCTCACAAGTGCCAGCATTTGAAAGGGGGAAATATGGTGGCAACACCCTCACATCCCATATGAAGTTTACTGGCATGATTCCAGGTCAGCAGCAAAACCTCACTGGAAATAAAAGGAAATATTTATTTGCACAACTCAAAGTCAACCTGTGGAACTTCCTGCGAGAGGATGTTATGAAGGCCAAAACTTTAACAGGACTTTAAAAAGAACTAGAGATAGAGTCATGCAGGATAGGTGTTTCAATGGCTATTAGTCAGGATGGGCAGGGATGGTGTCTCAAGCCTCAAGATTGGGAATGGGTGATGGGATGGATCATTTGATGATTACTTATTCTGTTAATTCCCATTGGCCACTGTCTGAAGACAGGATACTGGCCTAGATGGACCTTTGATCTGAGCCAATATGGTCGTTCTTATGTTCTTATGAGTCTGTGTCTTACCAAAATGCAGATTAATGAAGTCTGCAGTTCTTTAGAGAGGTGATTCTTTTAAAGGATTCTATAAAACAGGTTTGAGAACAAAGGGGTTTACTTTTTAGCCAATTGTAGCAGCAGTGGGGTAGCAAATTTATTGTATTGCAGCAAGATCATGGTCTCAGGAAGTGCTATGATACTTTTTGATACATTCTCTTCTCCAGGATTGTGTCTCATGGAGTATGGGTCCATGCTCAATTTAGAGAACTTTGTTGTAGTAAAATCTGGCACGGGTGTACACTCATAGGCAACTGACTTACATGCAGCACTCTAGGTAGCATATCATGGAATAAAGTCATCAACTAACTAAGCTTCTACTGAATTGTTCATCACAGTAGCAACCACACCTGATTCTATGAAGGAGACACCTTGTACATACCATTACATGAGCATCACAACATAATAAGGGAGCACCTAGAAGAAACTGCATCTGTAGATTAGGATAGCCAACCAGGACATTATTCAGAAATGTCTATTCTACAGGATGAGCCATAAAGAACCCTCACACATAAGGATAGATTTTACAGACACCAGAAAGTGTAACAACAGAAGCACATCACCTGTTCTGCTTATGGACTAAATGCAGCAAGCTGCTGTCATCTCCTTTCCCTCCCACCCAACATTGTCACCACAACAGTTCCACATCTAGGAGTGCTCCACCTTCTCTTCACTGTCTTTACATACAATTCTCCGAGTGAGGTCCCCACCCATAGTCAGGGTTATCTGATGATGTTTGGGCAATCTGCTCCTCTCTGGATGCTTCCTATCATCCCATTTATACTTGTGTACTGATCTCATAAATTATTCAAGAAGTTGACAGGTAATTATTTTGCCCCACATCTTCCATTTGTGGGTGAGAGTTAATTTCTCATATTCATCAACCTATGTCTGGAAAAAGGCTGTGTAGCACCAGGCTGAATATCAGTGTGCACTCACCTTTAATTCTTTTTTTCATTTTGCAGAGCACCACATCCTAAGGGATGTTGGAGTCAGAGACATCACATGCCATCTGTGCATCCCTTTCATCTGTACAGCATACTGCAGATTGTGTGTAACACACAGCAAGCAAAGTTTGTTCCACTCCAAAAATATCAGCATACTTAGGATTTTACACACACACACACACACACACACACACACACACTTCAAGTTTGTTGGCCTGCAACCAAACTGATTTGCCTATCAGACACATCTCTCCCTCTGACCAGAGGATCAATATGGTAGTTTCATTAGTCAAGATTGAGTGCTGTCCCACAGCACAGTGGCGGTAGCCTGTAGTTGTTGCTAGTGACATGCTCATGAGGGAATGATTAGTGCTTATATCAACCAACAGGATATAAGCACTGCTGTACTTCATGAGCTGTGATGGATGCTGACAGTCAGAGGAGAGACACTCCAGCCCAGCTTTCATCCTAACTTTTGCCATCTTGTGTACCCACAATCAGCATTTATTTCATTTGCTGGTTACTATATTCAGTGGCACAATCTGATTCAAAGCAGTACAACCTTCTTGATGACCTGTATTTATATGTGTCCCTTTATTTTATCCCAGATGTTGCATTAGACATGTTCTGCACGCCACATAGCAAAGATTTCATAGTCTGTAGACATTTCCAGTTCAGAGTAAGAATTTACGTTTCCCTCCACTGTGCTTATTCATTAAAACAGCAGCTCATTTGAGGTATTTGCAATGTGTGTGTTCTGTGACCTGTATGTGTCAGAAACGGAGGATTATCATTTATACCATCTATTCTGAGACACCTGGTCTACTCTATAATTTCTCCCTCTGTGCCAGAACATGCAGAATTAAAGAGAGATTTTACTAGATGACTAGATCCCTAATGCTCTGGAAACTAATGATTAAACACACGTTGTATACAAATAAAAATAAGAAGTGGGTTGTGCCCACGAAAGTTCACGATACCATCTACATTTTTGTTAGTCTTTAAGGTGCTGCAAGACTATTAGTTGATTTTTAAATTTACCCCCCAAAAAAGTTTGTTCACACTTATTCACATTTATAATCCAATTCATTTTGATTGTTCCCCACACCTTTTATGTTTGCAAATATTTTAAGAAACAAGTTTACAGAGGAGAATATTCACAGAAACAGCCAGTTTTAAGGGAATTGTGACTTTGTAAACATGGCCATGGAAAGCAACACTGTCCTTGTGGCACTTATGCGTGAGCTTGTAGACAAACAGATTGAAAACACATTACCTGTCCAGCTCAAGTGTGCCCTCTCTACGCAATCAAAAAATGCCACTGCCAGAGAAGATATTTAGACTAAATGCTTATGGATGACATGGTTTCTCTGCCACAGAGAAGTCATGACAGACCCATGGTGAATTGCATTATAAATTACAGACACAAAACATATCCATTATAAACTAGGGGCATATAACTAGATATGGCTACTATAATGTGTGTGCATAACTGATTGGATAGCCAGAGAGTAGTTATCAATGGTTTACAGTTATGCTGGAAGGGCACTACAACAGGGGTTTCACAGGAAACATTTCTGGATCTGATTCTGTTCAATATTTTTATTGGTGATTTAAATAAGGGTGATATAAATTTTGCAGAGTATATTTGCAAAATTTTCTTATGATACCAAGGTGGGAGGGGTTGCAAGTATTTTGGAGAACAGGATTATAAGCCAAAATGATCTGGACAAACTGGAAAAATGGCCTGAGGTAAATCAGATGAAATTCAACGAGGACAAATGCAAAGTACTCTATTTAAGAAGGAATAATCAGTTGCACACATACAAAATTGGAAATAACTCCCTACGAAGGAGTATAACAGAAAGAGATCTAGCAATCATAGCGGAACGCAAACTAAATATGAGTCAACAGTGTGACACTGTTGCAAAAAAAGCAAAAGTCATTCTGGGCTGTATTAGCAAGATTATTGTAAGCAACAAACAAGAAGTAATTCTTCCTCTCTTCTTTGCGCTACTTAGGCCTAACTGTGGATAAATTGGGGCAAAAAAGTACAAGAGAGAGGAACAAAAGTGACTAAAGGTCTAGAAAACATGACTTATTAAAGTATATTTTAAAAAAACTAGATTTGTTTAGTGTGGAAAAGAGAAGACCAAGAAGGCACATGTAACAGTTTTAAAATACCTAAAAGGAATTTTAAGGAAGAGAGAGGAAAATGATTCTCTTTAATGTCTGATGATAGCACAAGAAGCAATGAGCTTAAATTGCAGCAAGGGAGACATTGGACATTAAGAAAAAATGCCTACTGAGTCTCTGGAATCTTCATCACTGAAGGTTTTTAAGAGCAGGTTAGACAAACACCTGTCCTTTTATCACCAAATCCTCAAGGAAGGATACAGAAGTATATAAATCTAAGACCATATGGAAGGAATGATATATATATTTCCCCAATACTGTGTTATTCCTATCTGTGTATGTGGTTTGGAGCTTTTCTGTCTCTAGTACAGATTTTAATTTAAAATAAAAAACAGTTACCTTTCTCCCCCAGTGGATATGGCAGGTGTTAAAACTAAAACACAAAATTTGCAGGGGGAAAATACCCACAGAAAAGCGAAACCTCACCTAATTGGGTGGGTAGGACTTTATGGTGCCCCTTCAGTTGTAAAGCTATTTTCCTTAAGTCTTTTTGCTAACGTATGTAAAATCACTGATAATTGGAGCTACAAGGTTAAATTAGTGCACTGTTTTTAATGACAAAAGAAAAATTTCATAATCAGGGCGGAGTGGGAATGTGCATACTATAAAAGTTGTGACAACCCCACAATTCTCACTCCTGCAAGATTCTGTTAGTTGTTCTGTGTTTCGTGAAGCAGGTAAGTACAATTTGAATTTATTACACGTTTAAAATCTCTTAAATTAATTTGGCATTTTATTTTGGAAGTGGGTTGAACCCAATATATTGAAGAAACAGTCTGCTGTACCTGTGGGTTAACAATTAAGTATAACTTATTCACTGCTGAGACATTAGTGGGAACAGAATTGTAATCTCAATAGCCACAAATATGAAACTCTGGTAGATTAACATTTTCACCTATTAACTGTTTGGTTAACCTAATAATTTCTAATTCAAAAACTGCATTATAACAAGCACTCATTTTTATACCAACTGTTTCCCCTCTTCACCCAAAACAGACTCCTGCAGCCTGGAATGAAATCCATCACTGATTTTTTTCTCTTTAAACATTCAAATGTAGGGTTTTGTTTTGTTTTCACAGTTATTCAAGAATATAATCAAAACATGGAGAATCTACTCAACTCTGATCTTATAAAACAATTCACTCAACATGCTTTGTTGGAGGGTAGTCCAGGCTCGCTGAGCATTGCTGGAGTGAAAAGCCTGATTCAAGCTCAATTTTTAAACATGATTAAGGTAAGTGTAGTCCAAGCATCAATTTACTCTCTGTAGAGGGAGTGCAAAAATATTAATATAATTCCTGAGCCTGCAGGACAGAGCCATTTGCTCCCATTGACTTTGATAATTGAACCCACCACTCACCTTTGTGAGCAGTCAGTCACAATGGACACTTATGTGAAGAGGAGTTCACAACTTGGCACTATGAAAGAAATATTTTTATGTATTTTATAAAGTGTTCTGAAGTCAAAGTTCCACCAACTAGATCACATAAAAGCCCCCCCCCCACACACACACACACTCCCCAGTCTACATACCTTATGTTGATTAATTTCAGAGGCCATTTAGACTTTGACTATTAGGTAAATGAGGTGTGTGGTAATTATTTAATTCTGAAAACAGTAGTATCAGAACTGAGGTGAGAAGTCTGAAGCTTCTGGTAAACAGTTGAAGTGCCTGCTGTAATGGAAATGCACATAGTAATTCTCCATGATTTCAATAAAAGTGCAAAGGCAAAAAGTCACCAGCAACATCTGATCTTTAATAAAGTCCATATGACACGAAGAATGATCAGAATTTTGAAAGATTAAACAGAGTTGGATTCTGACTTTAGTAGGACTCCAAATAGTTTCCTTGGCTGGAATGAACACTTAGATGTTAAATGTTAGTGTATTGAATCAATGTTGGTACATTTTATTAAAGACCTGAACTCAGTAGAAATTTCAGTATTTTGTGAACAACAAGAATCACTTTACTCTTTTTGCTACAATTTGTTGATTGAAGAAATATCTTTTACATTGTCTAGTATATACAGTTAGGTCTGTGGAAAAATAGCTAATTCAGCTTGGGAGGAAAATAATTTTTCAGATTTGAGTGAACATTCCATTTTATCTGTCTAATCGATGACTGTTTACAATTTGGATAGTAGATTTTTCTAGTATTTGCTCTGTTTGTAAAGCTTTAGGCTGCGTCTAGACTACATGATTTTGCGGAAATACTTTTAACGGAAACGTTTTTCTGTTAAAAGTATTTCCACAAATGAGCATCTAGATTGGCATGGATGCTTTTGCGCAAAAAGTGTTTTTGTGCAAAAGCATCTGTACTCAGTATAGACGCGCTTTTGCGCAAGAAAGCTCTAATGGCCATTTTAGCCATCGGGCTTTCTTGCGCAAAAAATCAAGGTGCCTGTCTACACTGGCCCTCTTGCGCAAGTATTCTTGAGCAAGAGGGCTTATCCCTGAGCGGGAGCATCAAAGTATTTGCGCAAGAAGTACTGATTTTGTACATTAGAACGTTAGTGCTCTTGCGCAAATTCAAGCGGCCAGTGTAGACAGCTGGCAAGTTTTTGCACAAAAGCAGCCACTTTTGCACAAAATCTTGCCAGTCTAGACGCACTCAAAGTATAATAAAACATAAGAAGAGCAGCTTGAAGTCTTTAAATTATAATCAAAACTAGGAGAAGTTCTCTGGCGTCTTAGGGAATGTCTACACTAAGAAATTATTTCAAAATGACTTATTTTGAAATAATTACTTCTGAAATAATAATTTCAAAATAACATGTCCACACAATGGGGAAGCCTTGAAATTAGTCCAAGGGAGGCTCCATTAATGTGGTTGTGCTGTCTCAACTTAGAACTTTAGAAAGCACTGGGGAGTAATTTGTTTGAATTACTCTGGGGAGTAGTTATTTCAAAATAACAGCAGCAGGGCATCCACACTACCACTATTTCGAAAAAACTATTTTGAAATTAGCGTTATTCCTTGTGGGAAACAGCAGTTATTATTTTAAAATAACCAGCCTGTCATTTTGAAATAATGGGCTTGGTAGTGTGGACTCTCTACTTGTTATTTAGAAAAATAAGGGGAATTGTTTTGAGCTAAGTCCCTAGTGTAGAGCAGGGGTTAAACACTAACACATAAGCTTTCATGGATAAAAAAACATTTTGTCAGATGCATGCAGCCATGCACTGAACAGGCTTTTACTCACAAAACCTTATGGCCAAAGAAATCTGTTAGTCTTTAAGGGGTCACAGGACTCCTCGTTGTTTTTACAGATACAGATTAACACACCTACCTCTCTGAATCAAAACATTGCCCCACTTTACAAACTTGACTAATTACCAAGAATGTTTTCAGAAAATTAACTGCACTTTCTGCCATATACACTTTCTTAATACACCCTGAACTGAAAGGAGTTAATGAAAGGAGTTCTTAGCTAGATTTACCATGTTTTGCTAACACAATACAGAGTATTCTAAATACTGGGGGAAATAGTCCTGTCTCAGGGTATCATGATCCAAAGTCAACTGATGTGAAAGGGATACTTTAACTGATGTAAGTGGGCTCTGGGTCAGCACTATGTGTAAATATTGACTTTTAATGGCGATCACTGTGCTTCAGTGAGTCTATGCTACTGCTTTCTCACCTGTCTTTCTCTCCCCATCTTTGTGATGTAGTCCAAACTCAATTTACCTACATCAGAATGAAAGCCTAGTCAAAATGAAACCCTGCTGTAGTAACATGGTTCAAGAACCTTTGTTGTATTTGGTTGCACTTGGGTCCATTGGCTCTTGCACTTGGAGATATTTTCTTTTCTTGATTGTCTCTGACTGTGAGATGTCAACTATTTCTTAGGAATGCTCTTCTACAGTGACAGATGAAAGGCAAACGATTACTCACATTGTTCAAAGGACTGATATGTCATTGACAACAAATGTTAGCAGACTCTGGGCACTGCTTTTCTAGGATAGCAAATGTAACAATCTTCCCCTCCCCAATCCCTGTACTTATTAGTACATCTCATATTAGCAGCAACACTTCCCTCGTAACATTAGTTGTTAGCCTATATTATGGGCTATGTTTCTTCTCAGGAAGTGTCTGTGATCATTAATTTTTTTACTTTTTTTTTATATCTTTTATATTATTTCCCTATTAAAAACAGAAAGAATTCTCTATTGAGAATGTAACTAAAATGATGGATAAAAATAATGATGGAAGAGTCAACCTTGATGACTTTTTATCCGTTATGAAGAGTGTCATGAAGACAAACCAGTAAGACAAAAGGAGGCGGATCACCACCGGCAAAGGAAGAGAGAAAAATCTTAACATTTATAAAAAGTATATATATATATATTTCTATAGATTTACTATTGTGATAACATTATCAGCAGATAATAAAGATTTTCTTTAGTATAAAAGGACTGGTCTCCTTGTACTTGGTCTCCTAGCAATGGTCTCCAATACACTGTTAATCAGTACATTCTAAGCAGGTCCACTTTCCAGTTAATTTAGAATAAATTATTTTTATTTCATGCTCCAAAAACATGATGTAAGGAAACAACCTTTACATAGCTCCTGCTTTAAGTGGGGATTGTACTTTGACACACTGGACAATTTAAATTTATGTTTTTGGAAGGAATGGCCATACACATTAAGGACACTCCTAAAGTACAATAATCAATTCAATTTAAGTCAGGAGAAACATCTGATTCCCTGTATTACAGTAGAACCTCCGATTTATGAACACTTCTGGAATGTAGGCTGTTTGTAACTCTGAAATGTTTATAGCTCTGAACAAAGCGTCATGGATGTTCTTTCAAAAGTTTACAACTGAATATGGACTTAATACAGGTTTGAAACTTTACTACGCAGAAGAAAAATGCTACTTTTAAACATCTTAATTTAAATGAAAGGATCACGGAAATAGTTTCTTTACTTTGTCAAATCTTTTTTTAAAACTTCCCCTTTATTTTTGATAGTAGTTTCCATTTAACACAGAACTATACAGCATTTTTTCTCTTTGCTACCTGATTGTGTACCCTCTCATTCCAAATGAGGTATTTGGTTTACTGGTGACTCCATAACTCTGATATTCATAACTTTGCAGTTCTACTGTATCACATATGTCTCTGTGACCTCTCAACTGATGTCATAGGTTCTAACAGGGTATTTTCATTAAACCATTATGAAAGAACAGAAGAATCTCGTAACTGTGATTCTTCGAAATGTGTTGCTCATGTCTATTCCAATATAGGTGTGTGTGCACAGCGTGCACGCACCGGTGGATACTTTTCTCTCAGCAGTACTCTTAGGGCCAGCAGGGGACTTTTCTCTCAGCAGTACCCTTAGGGCCAGCAGGGAGCTCCCTGGAGTGGCGCCGAAATATTGGCCCATATTTACCCCTGTTGGCCACCTCACCCACTCTGTTCCTTCTTACCGGCATATTCCAGATAAAGGGCGGTGGGCGGGGATTTGGAATGGACATGAGCAACACATCTTGACGAATTACAGTTACAAGTGTGGCAAGGGCCCCTCTTCCCCAAGCCACCACTGGGTAGGTCTCCTCCTCTTAGCCCCCGAGTTTGGGGTTTTTCATCAGGTCTCAATGGTAGGGAGCCCAGCCAGGTGCCCTCAGGCTCCCTCCCTAGCTGCCTTTACCTAGTGCTTCGTCAAAATTGTTCTCTCCGATTTCTTCCTCTCTGCCTCTCCACCACCTTCCTTTCGTCCTCTTACTCTCCCTCCCCAGCCTCTAACTGCTGAGGCTTTTAAAGGCCTTCAGACAGCAGAGGAGTCAGCTGGCCCCAATTTGCCTGAGCCAGCTCCCTCCCAGCTGCATCTAATTGGGCTACAGTTCTCTGCTTCTTCTCACAGGGTTTTTTCCCCTTTTGGGCTGCCTTTTCCCTTCTCTGCAGCAGCTCCCTGGCCTAACCCTGTCACACAAGGTAAGTAACCGTTCTTATTTCTTTGAGTGATTGCTCATGTGCATTCCAATATAGGTGACTTCAAAGCAGAACCTAACTAGGTGGACGGCTGGATGTCGAGACCAAGGAGGAGTTAAGGACCGCCCTACCTAGGGCAGCATCCTCTCTGGCCTGATGGGACAGTGCATAATAGTTAGCAAACATGTGGACCGAGGACCATGTGGCAGCCCTACAGATGTCCAGGATGGGAACCTGCACTGCAAAAGCGGTGGAAGCTACCACAGCTCTCGTTGATTGAGCTCTAAGTGTCAGGGCTGAAATGCCCGCTAGAGAGTAGCACTCCCTGATACAGGTGGTTATCCATGAGGCGATCCACTGAGTGGATACAGGTTGGCCTCTCATGCATTCTGCGATGGCTACGAAAAGTTGTGGTGATTTTCAGAACAGTTTGGTCCTATCCAAATAAAAGGCTAACGCCCTACAGACATCTAACATGTGTAAAGCTTGTTCTTTCCCAGATGCATGCGGTTTTGGGTAAAACACTAGTAGAAAATATCCTGGGAAATGTGGAATACAGAAACTACCTTCGGCAAAAAAGATGGGTGAGGGCGGAGCCGGACCTTGTCTTTAAAAAATTCTGTGTAGGGGGGCTCTGATGGCAAAGCCCTGAGCTCAAACACCCGCCTCGCAGATTTGATTGCCAGTAGGAGGGACACCACGTATGAGGCGAAGGAGGCTGCATGTGGCTAGCGGTTCGAATGGGGGCCCCATAAGTTTGGATAGTACCAGGTTTAGGTCCCACTGGGGAATGGGTTGCCGGACATGCGGATAGAGTCTGTCCAGTCCTTATAGGAAGAGGAAGAGAGATGCTGGAGCCTAAAGTCCAACAGGTAATCCAGGATCAAGGGGACTGGTGCCTACCTCGGGTGTACCCCCTTCTGAGAATTCCAACAGAAGAACCACTTCCACTTAGCGAGGTACGTAGTTCTAGTGGAAGGTTTTCTGCTACCCAGAAGCACTTCTTGGACTCGTTGAGAGCACTGGAGCTTCTCTGCAGTTAACCATGGAGCTTCCATGCTGTCAAGTGGAGGGACTGTAGGTCTGGGTGGTGAAGCCTGCCCAAGTCCTGGGATATCAGGCCCGGGACTAATGGGAGGGTTACAGGCCTCTTGCATGAGAGGTCGAAGAGGGTCGAAAACCAATGCTGTCTGGGCCACGCTGGGGAAATTAGAATTAATGATGCCCATAACTCCCGCACTTTCAACAGGACTCTGTGAACTAGTGGGAAGGGCGGGAAGGCGTACTGCAGGCTTTGCAGCCAGTGGAGGAGGAGACCGTCCCCTTGGAACCCCCATCCCTGTCTCATGAGGGAGCAGTAGTGGGGGCACTTCATGTTCTGCCCTGTGGCAAACAGATCCAGATGGGGAAACCCCCACATGCAGAAGATGGATCGGGCAACGTCCCAACGCAGGGACCACTCGTGGCTCGCAAACAATTTGCTCAATCTGTCCGCTAGGACGTTCTGTGAGGGAGATATGAGGCCATCGGGAGGATATCCACCCTGAGGCAGAGTTCCCATAAGCTGATCACCTCTGAGCACAGGTGAGGTGAACGAGCCCCGCCCTGATTAATTATATAGGCCATCACTGTTATGTTGTCTGACAGGATGAGGACAGTCTTGCCCCTCAAGTGGGGAAGGAAAATCGCACAAGCCAGTCGGACTGCCCTGAGTTCCCTGACGTTGAGATGCAGGGAGGTTTCGCTGGAGGACCACATACCTTGAGTGTGCAGCTCTCCCAGGTGGGCTCCCCAACCCGTGTCTGACGCGTCTGTGACCAGTCGGATGGATGAAACTGGCCGGGAGAATGGGACCCCTGCGCAAACTTCCGTTCGATGGGTCCATCACTTCAGCACAAGGATGACAGGGGCAGGGTTGGTTAACAATGGACTCGCGATAGGCACATCTGAAGCGGGCGCATGTGCAGTCTGGTGTGTTGCATTACATAAGTGCAGGCAGCCATGGGGCCCAATAGACGCATGCAAACCCGGGCGGTGGTCACTGGAAAGTTCTGGAGTGACCTGTCCACTGACTGTAGCATAAGAAAGCGGGAGCTGGGTAGACAGGCTCTCTGAGACCGGGAATCCAGAGTCGCACCCACAAATTCTATTGTCTGAGTAGGAGTTAAGGTGGATTTGTCCAGGTTTAAAAGAAGACCCAGATCTTGAAAAAGTTCACGGACTATGGCGATGCGATCTCTCACCTGGGTTACCTCGGAGGAGCCAGTCATCCAAATAAGGGAACACTTGGACTCCCCTTTTTCTGAGTTTGGCAGCCACCATCGCCATACATTTGGTGAAGACCCGGGGGGCCGTAGAAATACCAAAGGAAAGGTCAGTGAATTGGCAGTGGTCCTGGCCCACAGTGAATCGCAGGAACCTTTGGTGGAAGGGTGCAATTGAAACATGAAAATAAGAGTCTTTTAAGTCGAGGGCAGCGTACCAGTCTCCAGGGGTTAGGGAATGATGGACACAAGAGTCACCATTTTGAATTCTGTCTTGACGATGAAGAGGTTTAGAGCTCTGAGGTCCAGGTTTGGGTGAAGGCCCCCTTTTGCTTTTGGAACCAGAAAATAGCAGGAATAAAATCCTCTGTTTAGAAAATCGAGGGGAACTCGTTCTACCGCCCCCAATGTGAGAAGGTGGCGAGCCTCCTCCTGTAACAGAGGCTCGTGAGAGGGGTCCCTGAAAAGGGATGAGGTAGGGGGTTGGGAAGGAGGGGGCGAGTGGAAGGGGATTACATAACCCATTTCCACTATCTCCAGAACCCATCGGTCAGAAGTAATAGACCGCCAGGCCTGGAGGAAACGAGATAAACTGTCCCAGAAGGGTAACAGGGAGACTGGTAAGAAGCCCTCTGGGGTCCCATCAAAAGCCCTGTCAGGGTCGGGGGGGCATGTTGGGGGGCCCCTGGTTAGAATCCGGGGATGGGCAAGGGCAATGACTATTGTTCCTGCTATTATTACCCCTGACCCTACAACGGGTAAAATCAGGGTGTGGGCCCTGTGGAGGCATTGTAGGGGTGTTCCTATTAGTATATGAACGCCTCTGGGAGGCAGTGTGTGAAGGCCTAAGGACGTTAATGTGGCTCTCGTGTCCTTCAGGCCATGGAGCTGCTGGTCAGTTTGCTCGGAAAAGAGCAACATGCCTTCGAAAGGGAGGCCCTGCAATGTGTTTTAGACTTCCGGCGGCACTCCGCAGCCCTGAAGCCACAAACTGCGATGCAGGATCACTCCGGTGGCCATGACTCGAGAAGCTGCATCAGCCACATTGAGTGCTGCTTGTAGCACAGTT